CATTGTCCTGTTATGTGACTCGTTTTCAGCCAAGCCCTAGGGCAGATGGCCTAACATTTGACTCTAGAATACTGGTATACAGAGAAATTCACAGTTGGCTCAATGACTGCAGGATACCCAGCTTCTGTGGCTGTGAAATAATCCCAAATCATCATCCTTTCACCACACAAAAAGTGTTTGTTAATGTTGTGTTTGGTTTTTACCAAACACTTCATATCCCGCTAACACATAACAATGCTCCGGACCAGTACACTTCCAAAATGTCTCTTTTTCCAGAGGTGGCCACACTTGCTGATGATCAATCAATCAATGAATTTTCATTACTACTTGCTCTCTTAATTCCTATAAAAGCATTGCTTTAGAGGAGCATACATTGCCTCTGCATTTTCGCTTAAGTTCTGTTAAATAAAAAAAATAACTTTTTAATATGTCAAGCATTGTTCCTCATCTGTGGTTTGATTTACATAACTGTAAGACCTGCTGAGCACAAGATGATTCGGAATTTAAAGAAGGTTTACTTCATCGATCCATTATTAACCATTTATCTAATTAGGCAATTAAGCAGTCAGTGGGAGTGTCTAACCAGTGCTGGCCAGATGCTGCTCTGATTGCCTCCACAGAGGAAGATGAAGAACCAGAGTGTCGTCATTATGAAGCAGAAGATAGACACAAACATCACCCAGCCCAGAGGGTTAGCCGGATCAACTTTAGCCGATGCCACCAGGATCCACACCAAACCACCAAACACCTGCAGGGTCACACAGAGGAGGGGAAAAGAGACAATGATTGATGACATTGCAATGCAGTGGCTTGATTTCCACAGAGAAGGAATTCTACACACCAACTTTGTAAAGTTTTTTATTACAAATTTATAGTGTTGAGTGTAAGCTTTAAGCTATTTTCCAGCCCTCTGAAAGGTTATTCAGAGCTTCATGAAAATTGGTACAGTGCCCTTTAAACTAAGGCTTGGTCGCACAAACACACACATAATGGCCATGTTGTCACTCTTGGGTGTATTGCCTCAGCCTTTATATCTCCTCCTTTGGCAAACATTATGCTTGAAAGAGTCTTTGGTATTTAGATGGAGCATGAACCTTCCACCATTTGTTCCTTGATAAGAGGCACATTAAAATGCTTTACCATAGGTCACAGATAGTGTGCGCAGGAAAAATATTTTTATTCATTGTCATTTTTTAAACAAGCAACAGAAATTTTTGACTGTTTCATGTTAGGCCATCTTCACAGAGGGACGCCAATGTAGGAAAGCTCAGGTGTAAATAATAACATTTCTACATTTTATTTAGCACCTTCAGTTTCAAGGTCCTAAAGGCTTTCTGAGACACACTCTAAGAATAAACTTGTGCTTTCACACTAAAACAGGTGAACAGGTCTGCTATGAAAAAGATCTGTTTTTATCTTGTCTTTATATCAGTGGTTCTTAACCTGGGTTCGATCGAACCCTAGGGGTTCGGTGAGTCGGTCTCAGGGGTTCGGCAGAGCCTCCACCGTGCATGTATGCACGCACGGCCCATTTTGTGCACCAGTAAAAAACATATG